AAATTTCTCTTAAAGGAACAACTCCTCTAAAGCATCTAACCTCTAATAAACTTAATTAATACATATATTTATTAATATGTCATTTTAAATAATAAACATTATTGAGTAAATTTTATGTGAAGTCTATTAAATAATAAGTAAAAATTACTAATAGAAGGTGATATTCACACCATTTAATATTATGTGTAGATATTTTTTATAAAAAAAATGTTTTAGAGGATTTGTTGGCAACATTTCTGATGAGTGTATACCTGCTTGCTAGTGAATGGTTAATTCAACATTTGTCGTTTTCCTTCTGAATGTAATGTGAAACGAAACCAACAAACAATTTATTTCAGCCTGCAGTAGGCTGAACTAATTTGATATAAAGCAAACACTAGAAAACAAATATCCATGTCTTGTGATGTGTTTTCTTATTGGCTAATTTTTAATTATGATTTAGGAGAACGGTTGCATATCAAAACAATGAGCTGATGTAACAACATTAATTGATATTGAGAATGTGGACACACAAGGAGAGAAAGATTTTTATCATTCTCATACATGACTCGCGAGGCTGATTATAATTTCGTTTATCACTCATTACCTGAATTAATTAGTACATAATTGTTCATACTTAATTAGTAATTAATAAAGAACTTTTTTTAATAAAAAAATTATAAAAACACTTTTACCTTATATCAAAACATATTTATATATATAATAATTAGTGTAGAGAAACACCAGCTTCATATCTATGGAACTGTGATGGTTGAAAGAGGAGGCTGCTAGATAGAAATTGAGACATATTGGGATTTTGTAAGTGTGTTTGGTTTGGGTCCGTAGATATCATTGTCAAAATAACCTTAGTCAGAGGCATATGGATTTTGCATAGATTTACATATGGTTGGAATTGGAGAGCCAAATGGAGTAGTGATTTGTGAGTGTCGACTATTGGTAGATATGGTCCATAGGAGCATGAGTGGCAATTATGGTGAAAAAGCCACTCACCAGTGTTCCCCCACACAACTTTATTCATTCATTTTGACCAAACACCGTATATTCTTTCTCAAGCCTTCCGGTGGAGTCTAGATGGGATACGCACAACTCTTTGCCTTTGCCTCGCCGACAACTTCGTTGACTAATACTTCATCAACAACTATTTATATCATTCCATTTTTCTCCACATTAATGTGATCAAGAAATATAATAAAAAAAATTATATTATATGAATTATTGTATGTATAATAGATACTCAATTAAAATATATCCTAAAAAATTGCGTTTAGAATTTCGGTTTTTATACTTTTTTTTCTTCTTCTTCTGGATTTGAATATTTTGAAAACTTATAGTCGAGTTATTACAATTAGAAAGTTGGAACTAGAGAATGAACAAATTTAACTCGTAATCGTCTTCATAATTTCAAAAAAATATCGTAGCTGGATCCCACATTAACTAGCCGACTATTATGGCAAAGCTTTAATTGAACGTACCTATAATAAGAATATAGTAACAATTATTTTAAATATAAAGGTATAATTAAAAAACGTACATGTTGCCATATATAATATCACTGAACCTAAGTCAAAGTGAATTTTATATATATAATTTTTTTCCAGGCACTAGTTTTAGAACATACTCTGAGCAAAATCTGAGGCTGCTTACGCATGGTTGGCATGGGCTTGTTTATCTATAAATATTTTTTAAAAAATAAGATGAAAAATGATAAATGTACTATCCGTACTGTCATGCCGAGCTCGAGCTCGGTATCACAGCGTGGAATAACTTCGGGCACGCACTGGGAGATCTCGGCCTAAGCGAGATCCGCAATCTAATCAGATCATAACTGATCTCGGAGATCTCGCTCCAGATGAGATCCGCAATCTAATCAGATCATAACTGATCTCGGGTATCTCGCTCTAGACGAGATCTACTATCTAATCAGATCATAACAGATCTCAGGCCCAAGGCCCAACACAACCCTAATTCACACAAAGGTACGTGCATTATTTATACGAGACTCATACTCCCACAAACACTAACTTTAGCATCGGAGTCTCTTTTGCAGGTACCACCCCCATCTTGGAGCATCAAGCGTACCAGCGAAGGAGGCTCACCAATCTTACTCGGAGGATCATCTCTACAGCAGATTTTCGGTAAGAACATTTGGCGCCCACCGTATCAAGACAGCTCTTATCGGCCACCTGTATGGTTTTCACCAGAAGCCACAACAGACGCGCAACAGACGACCTGGATCACTCAACTACCATGGATAGTGACGCAGCAACGTTGAGGAGGCTGATCGACCAGGTCGAACAGATGCGGCAACAACACGCCGCCGACCTACAAAGCATGCGTGCCAAGCACGAAACTGATCTAGCGGCAATGCGCACTGCTAATGCCGACCTAGCGGCACTACGCGCCGAGAACGAGCGCATTCGTGCCCAACTCCCTCGGCGTCCCCCAGATCAACCCCCTCTGTAGAGTAACCTGAATGAGGGCGAAGGGCATTCAGTTTCTAAACCCTGAACTGCGACCAGAGCACCGACTCCACGATCTGCCACGCATCGGTCTCATGCACCGACGCACAAGTTGACTCAGGATGTCAGCAGGGCCCCCACTCATGTCACAGAGGGTCAAGAAACTTTCCGCCGTCATCCTTTTGTGGATGGCATCATGGAGACTCCACTCCCCCGCAGATGGAAGCCTCTCCACCTTGATCGCTATGATGGCACGACGGACCCCGATGAACATATTGACCTGTATACGACCCAGGTAAACCTCTACACTAACAATGATGCTATCTTGTGTAGGGTTTTCCCGACCTCGCTCAAAGGGGCCGCACTCAACTGGTATACCCAACTACCTGCCGAGTCAATTGACAGCTTCGGCACTCTGGTCAGACGATTCACGGCGCAGTATGCAACGAGTCGACCTCACCTCGTAACGTCGGCTGCTCTGGCCAGCCTCAGACAGGGCGACGAAGAACCACTACGGACATTCATGGAACGTTTTGCTGGCATCTCGGTGAAGATTCGCAACTTGAATCCCGAGGTCGCCCTATACGCCATGCTCATGGCGCTCAAGCCGGGACCTTTTGTGGACAGCCTGTGTCGCCGAGCTCCCGCTGATATGGACGAACTCCGTGCCCGAGCTGCCGGGTACATACAGATGGAAGAGCACTCTGCTTTTCGTGACCAGGTTCGCAACAAACCACAAGGAAAGCAAGACCAAGGTCAGGCCACAAACATTTAAAGTTAGCGACCTTGTTTGGTGGGGTGAGAGAGGCAAGAATAGACCCCTCCGAAGGGAAATTCGAAACTTGGAATGTCACCCACCTCAAATTTTATTTCTCTTAACTTGTAAATTCAGGTGACGTACTCTTTTTCCTCCTCAGTCTTTTTTCTCACTAAAGAAAAAGGTTTTTGGCCAAGGAAGGTTTCAACGAGGCACACCTCAAAAATAATCAACAAAACAACTCTATTCCCATACATTTTTGGTATTGGCACATTAATCGTGACGACTTACCGAGGCCGAGTCCGAACCTCGAGACCACATTTTCTTAACCAAGGTTGAGTTCGAACCTTCTAATGCCGAGGTTGAGTCCGAACCTCGAGATCACATTTTATTAATCAAGGTCGACTAGTCTAAATGATAAACATACTCAAATTTAATTAGATTTCACTAGGAAAATGATAAACCTGAACCTGGACTGCTTTTGCAAAATGAACTTCACAACTACAGGAAACAGTGTGATTTTCAGCCTTGCCCTCTAATTCCCCTTCAAACAGGTCATTGCTATCAACATGACAATTGCCTTCTGAAAAAGTCACAGTTCCATCCCCCACAGAGGAATGATTATAAAGGCATGCCTTGTCCATGTAACCATCATTACTATTTCCCTCTAATCGAAATTCCTCATTGTTGTAACTAAGCTCCAAATTGCCATGTTGATTTTCCATTTCTGCTGTCATGACAATCTTTCAGACGAAGAATCAGAATCATTCTGAGTCTGGGACGAGGAACGGATTCCATATGGATTTATGAATTCTGCAAAAACAACTAGGTTTTAGGGTGTTCTATTCTCCCACATTAGCGAATGGCACGCGCCACTCAACCAAATTGATATTTCCATAAATCACTAAATCATATATTTCTGACATAAATTAATGATTAACATTTGCATCCACTAAAACATAATTCCTACATAAACTCCTAAATACTGAATATAGTATGCAATTGAATTGTGATTGACAAAACCAAACACAAGAATTCAAATCCTGGTGATCAATTACGCGATTCAAATATAGAAATCAACGCTCATTATTAAGACATCATTTTTTTGCTCTTATAAAATTGAAGACATACCCGATTTTTTTTGCTCATTATTAAGTACATACTCGTACCCATTCCCGTACCCGATTTAAGATATCGAGTTTTACCCGTACCCGTACCTGTTCAAACTGGGTATTCCCCGTCAAAGTCGGGACGAGTTCGGGTATTACCCTCAGGTACAAGTATATTTGTCATCCCTATGTGTGAGGTCCTTTAAGGATCATGATTTCCCAATGTTGTTCTCTAGTGCGCAATATAGCACGACATCTCCATTCACAATCGTGGTGAACGCATTCCACGAGAAGCCTAGTAGTGTTTGAATGCTTAACCTTGTAAGTGCAACGATTGACAATGTGAAATCTGTTAATGGCATCTTATACTTGTTCTGTTAATTACTTGATGTTACTCTTTGAGACTACGTTCACTACAAAAAATAGGTAATTATTGACGATTTTTTTTTGCGGTTTCCATAAACCGCCAAAAAATGTTACATTTGTTGCAAGGTTGGCAATTGTAACAAATTATTGATACTTTCTGGCGGTTCGAAACCGCAGGAATGGTAAGCATTACCGTGTTGGCACTTTCTGGCAGTTTTAAACTGACAGAACGTTCAATAAATTTTTTTTATTAAAATTAAACTTAAAAAAACATTTTTAAAACGAAGTCCGCAATCTGTGCGAGTAACTTTACTTTTGAAAATTTCACAATTTCACTAACAATAGGAAACAACATGCAAGAGCAAGAGGAGAAACTAGAGAAAACCAATTCGCGCGGAAGAGTGAAGCTTCAATTTGTTTAGTTTTCTTCTTCCACTGAATCCCATAGCGAGAGGGAAGCACACGTCAGCTTCTCGCAAGCTTGGTACGTTTCAATTTCAACTTTTTGCTTTTGATTTTCGCAAAACCCTCATTTCCGCAAACTCCTCTCAGGTAGGAAGAACAAACCACCGCACGCATCCACTTCCGCGCCAAAATCACCACAATCTCAATCGGTAACCCTCTCTCTCTTTCTCTTCGCATTTCCGATTTGTGAAATCCCTAACGACCTTTGTTTCTAAATTTCAATACTGTGAATGAAAATGGAATAACATAAAATGGAAAGTGGTAGGTTGTGCAGTAATGCACACTAGGTAATGTTTAATAAGAGTTATCATCTTCATGCAAGTATTAGATATGCATAAAAACATCCTATTCTCAGATTTTGGAAACGCAATGCCTTGACCGGTTCAATAATTAATTTGATTTGGAAAACAATACTTAGATCAAATACATGAAAAATGGATAACTGTTTCTAGATATTTTTGAGCTCTAGATTTTTTTTTCTTTTTCATATAGATAAATGAGCATTGCCGACATAAGCAGGAAACAATTCTCTATTAGTTTGTTGTCCTGCTTTGTTAGAACTTCTAGATTTGCCAATTAATTTCTGACAGCATAGCATATATAAACTTAGATTTTGATTGCTGTTACATATTAAAATAGTTTTTTTCATAATTTTCATTCTGTTTCAAAGTATCTTACAGTTTGATTAAAGTATCTTACCTGCTGGTATGAATCAGTTTGATTAAAGTATCTTACAGTAACACTCAGAATATTTGTTTCAGCCTCCTCCACTTCTCGCGCCTCTTCTGCAGGTATTCCTAACTCCAAATCCTCTCTCGCTATTTGAATTCAATTCAATTGTTTGGTGCTAATGCTCAATTTGCATGTGCTGGTAATTGACCACTGATTAGTGATTAGTGATCACACTCCGTTCGAAGTAACGGAGACCTCAACAGTTAGTTAGTTACTGTATTATGGTTTTTCTACTCTGTTGTTGTATCATCTCTACAGCAGATTTCCGGTAAGAACAATAAATAATTTTATTCGGAAACTAAAATTAATCTATCAAGTTAAAATTAGTTTTTCAAAAGTTAAATAGTTTAAGCTTAACTCCTATACTTAATTTTATATATAAACTAATTTAAACTTATACATATATTAATTAATATATAAAAAATAATATTTTTTTTTTTTTATGCAAATGTTGATAGAGAACTTATTCAAATAAAGACACAGTCACATGTCGATAGAGATCGACTAAGCGAAGGCTAAGGAAGCAGCAATAAAAATTTATAAAGTCTTCAAACCACATTATAGTAAACAGAACATATAATTATGTTTTTAATTAATGATATTAGCATCGTCTCGTACTTAATTAAACTAATATTAGGAAGGTTAAGTTCCTTTCGTTACATTAAAAGTTGTTTTTTCTTTTGTCTCACCGAAAGTCAGCTATCCGAGAAAACATGGTTGGCTTTACGATGTAATTAATGTCAACTTGTTATTTTGACAATATTCGTATCAGAAGATTATCAAGAAAACATGAAATATACGACAGCAGTTGCGTGATTTGTTGAACTTCTTTGTTTGTGATTCCCTTTCTTAACGCTAGCTATAGGTGGTTGCGTCCAAGACGTTTCCTTCTAATTGGAGAAGGCTCAACAACTTAATAGTATTTGATTAATTAAATTATTGCATGTATAAATATATTAACATTTTAATTTTCATAGTTTAAAATAGATTTTTAATTTTTACGTTAAAAAAATTAAAGACAAAAACTAAAAATAATTAAAAAAAAACATAAATATAAAAGCTAATTTTTTTTAAAACTATAAGAATTAAAAAATAAAATTATAATTTAGTGGATATAAGTTAGATATGTTATCTTAATTGAAGTTACCTTGTTTAAATAAAGTGTATATCTCTCTCCCAATAAAGGAATATTTTTATTATTACTTAAACCACAACTCATATACTCTAACAATAACTAATTAATTGACTTAATTAATGGTATAATATTTCTTTGGAAACATCGTAGCTGGAGGTGTTAAAGCTTGGTCACGGATGGATTGGTGCAAAAGCAAAAACGTGAAGCTTTTTCCAAATGAAATTGAATGAGTTGAATGAAATATTATTGGCGGAGGATAATGACAATGCAGTCTTCAGAACTAAAATAGTAACTGCATAGTAATATTGAAATTTGATAATGATAATATGAAGCAGTAGTCAACAGAAGAACGTTGAATTAATTTAATAGCTTGGATGATGAAAACGATTGGATGGTCATTGGAGTGGTTGGTCTTGGTCTCTCTCAGATCTCAAAGAAGCAAGGTAGAACTTTTGGAAAACATTAAATGATTTCCATAAATTAGAAAAATATCTCATTGTTGTGTGTTACATTAAATTTGTAGGTTTATCTATATTGTACTATATCGTATGTAATACTTAGGATCATATCATACTCTTCGTGAGGGAAACTTCTGTGAAATTTTTGGTATAATGCAAGATTCTGAATTTCTCTATTGGATCTCATCCACGCACGTCCTTTTCGCATTCCAAACTGGTCTAATGGGTTTTCAGTTTCGGCATCCCTAGTTTTTGTTGTTTTCTTTTTATTTGTTCGTGTAATAAAAAATGTAATACTTAAGTTATGATTGGTATATGATTTTTATTTTCATTTTTAACTAATTGATTTTTAATTTAAGAATTTTTTTAAATACCTAAACTTATAAATTTAAAACTTTATAAAAGATCTGTTTAGATAAATTCTCCTATTAAAAAATAGGAAAAATAGTTTTTTTAAAACTAAATTAAAATTAACTTATTCATATTTTTTTTAAGAAATTAATATAATAAAACTTGTACAAATTAATTTATACATAAACTAATTTTTAATGCATGGACTAATTTAGTTTATGAAAACTTTCATTTCATTTTTTTTTCTATTTTTTCTCTTATAAGTGTTTTTTAAGAAAAAAATCTAAAAAGACCCAAAATATGTTTAGTTATTATTAAATTTAATATATATATATATATATATATATATATACCATTATATAAAAAATATTTTTTTAATAAATTTTTTTTTTTTATTTATATGGACATCTTTACTATTTAATTATTTTACAACTCTTATAATTCTCTTGTCTCTACTATCAATCCAAATCAATCACCTCTAATTACAAATTACTTATTTTATTGTTTCTATTTTTCATCATTTTTTTAGTTTAAATAATTATATAGAAGTATAAAATATTTTTTTTTTCCTTTCAAACTTAATTATTAAGAAAAAGTTTTATTTTCATCTATAAAAGTAAGAAAAATTTATTCTCAGTTATTCATAAATTTGAATTTCCATAAATTTTTTATTTTAAGAAATATTTTAATTCTTTTATATTAAATATGAGAAATTTTTAATTCCTCGTGCTTCTAAAAATCTTTAAAATATTTCTTTAACCAAAGGTTACTTTCCCTTAATATTTAATAAGATATTTTTCATGTCGATTTAAATTTTGAAGGAGCATTCAAACTTTTAGAAGATCGAAAGTGTTTTAAGGAGTATTCAACCTTCTAAGAGGTCCAACAAGTTTGAAGAAGCATATGACCTTTTGAGAAGTTAAATGTGTTTGAAGAATTATTCAACTTTTGAGAGGCCAAATAAGTTTAAAGGAGCATTCAACCTTTTAGGAGGTTGAGTAAGCCTAAAGAAGCTTTTTTTTTTTAGTTTGAGGTATAACTCCTTCTAGTTGGGCCAAACCCTGTAGGGATACATCTAATTGACCAATTGGAAGGTCTAATAGGTTTAAAGAGGCATTCGATCTTTTGAAAGATCGAATAGGTATGAGGGTATTCAGTCTTTTGGGAGACTAAGCATGTGCCAAGATAACGAGTATCCAATAACTTTGAGATATAAAACTTAAATTAGGGAGCTCCTTTAAGTTTATGAGGGCATCCCTAATTTGATTCTTGTTATATTGGTTGTTGTTTTAGGTCAGTAGGATCTTGAAGTTAGAGGTGTGATTCATGCGAAGCATCTCGAGATTTTGTGAAGTTTTCTCTTATTTTCATTTCTCATTTTTCGATTGACCTTGAGGTATAGGAAACTGGAAATTCTTGTCATTATGAAGTTGTTATATTGTTGTGGATGATTTTAATCCAAGCTGCTATTGATTTGTATAATTTTAAATGGAATGACCTAAGCTAGGGTTTTAGGTTTTGAAGCATGTTGGGACGAAAAGGGTGAATTGGTTTCTTGTTGTTGCATGTTAAATTTGAGTGCATTTATATGTTCGTTGTGATGTATATAGTTGATTGATAATGTTGTATGCTTGAAAGTTGTTGAGTTTTAGGACCTTGAGGCAGATTCATATTCTGTAATGGTGCATAACACTTATTATGTCAGACGCACCTTCAAGGTGTTGGGTGCAATTTCAACATGAGACTCTTTCTTGTCACACCAACTATAGGATTGGTGGCACCAAGTGTGAGGAGAGAAACTAGTCTCGGGTTAGAATGACGCTAGATGTTATTCACTAGTGGAAAATTAGCATATTACGTCACCCCTTTTACGTCAGAAATACGAAAATCCGACGTAAAAAAAATCTGGTGGCATTTTTGTAATTTTTGCGAACTTTTTTACGTCGGACCTGGTAGGGTCCGACGTAAAAAGTCCAATCTACGCCGGAGGTATGTTGCGTCCGACGTAGATTGGACTTTTTACATCGGACCCTACCAGGTCCGACGTAAAAAAGGACGCAAATTTGAATAAGAGAGCGCGAGGCACACCGCGCCCATTCACTCTTCATCATTTTTCATTTTTTTCTCTCTAAACCCTCTCCCTCTCCTTTGTTACTGAATCATTTTTTTGTCTTTTGCAGAGGGATGAACTCTTTATTACTCATTTGCACATTGTTGCTGCTTCTCAGGTATGAATCAAGGTTTCGTTAGCACTTTTTTACTTCGCATTGCTACTCTGGCTATCTGTTTTATTTGATTTTTTGGTTGTTCTATTTGTATAGGTAGTGAGCGTTTTCTTTTGGGTTGTTATACGAAGCTGAATGGCTTGTTCTGCAAGCAGAACGACTTGTTCTGCAAGCAGAACGGCCTGTTCTACAAGCAGAATGACCCGTTCTTCAAGCAGAACGCCCCGTTCTCCAAGCAGAACGGCCTGTTCTGCTTGCAGAACGGGCCGTTCTGCTGGCATTTTTATGTTTTTTTTTTGTTTTTTTCCCTACTTTTTTACGTCGGATGTCTTAATGTCCGACGTAAATTTACTTCGGGTTTGAAGATCCGACGTAAAATTTACGTCTCCCGCTTCTACGTCGGTACGTTTTCTGACGTAAAAAGCTGAAAATGTCCGACGTAATACACCTCTTTTGTACTAGTGATTTGAATGACGTTAGGCATGAGAGCATTGAGAGTTTGTGACTTGGTGACGTCGGGCCTCAATTGAATGGCGTCCAACATAACCAAGTCAAAGTTCTCTATTTAGACGACACTAGGTGCCAATATGGGGACACTAGGTGTGTGTCATGCAGAGACTCTTTGCTTGAAATAAGGTTGAGTGTGGAGCTTTGCCACACCTAACGTGTGGTCTTAGGGGCTTATATATACCTTGTCCACACTGGACGTAAGATGTGTGGCGTAGGGTGTTGATTGTTGAATTAAAACATGTTTGGTTAATAAATTGTTGAATATGAGTAAAGTAGATTAATCTATAACATGTTTTAAGTTGCATAACATTGATTACTATATGTGTGTATTGATATATAATGGTAATTAGAGATGATGGATGGTTGAAAGTTGAAAGTGAGTTGAGTTGTATGTTGTTGTGTTGTTGAGATGATGAATGTTAAAGAGTGTTTTAGCCATTTAGTCATGATGTTGTTGAGTTGTGATGACCAACCTAAAACTAGAAAAGAGATTATTTTAAAATTTTATATCTCATTGTGTAAATATTGAATTATAGTGTTACAAGAGACCAATT